AGCAGGAAAAAAAGTGGGGGGAGTAGTCCCACAAACAGTCAAATATAGTTACTTGCTAGACAACACAGAGACTCTCCTGCAAACTCATTTGCCCACACACTCGTGCCACACACACACACTTACTCATGGAGCATCCTTGTGCCCACAGCCTCCCCCCAGAAATGCAGGCAGTCTCCAGGTGGTCTGTTCCCACATCTGGAGTCTCCATTCATCCCCAGGGCTGATATAGGCAGCAGAGAACAAGAACACTACAGAAAACATGTGGCAGTGTTCCCTCATGTGAGCATACACAGGGAAAGATGCTCAGTTCCCCTTCCTCTGTCACCAGGCATTGGATCCCTCCCATTACCCTGAGAGGGACACATCCCTGCAGAGCACCACCAGAGGGGTCCAACTGTGTGCCTTCCCTGCCAAGGCTGGATGGTCCTGAGAGGGAGACTAGAAATAAATAATTTGTCTGCAGTAGAAGGCCGAGCATCAGAGTGGGACAAGATGGAGGGGCCACAAAGAATGTTAACAAATGCTGTACAATAATATGCTCAAGCCTGCAAGCCCCAGGGCATGGTGCTGAGCAGGCATGCTCTCTGGGCAGTGCTGAGACATGGTAGGGCAGAGCTCAGGGATTATGTCTGGCCAGAGCTATGCTGTTTTGTGTACAATGGCCATTGCAGGGGTCAGAGCCTAGCCCCACACTCTGGGAGAACATGTGCAGCCCTCCCTGCAGAAAGTGGGGACCATTTAAAGCTAAGTTGGTGCATGTATCCTCTCCAGTGGATGACTGTCCCTGGGAGAAGTGCAGGGCATTAATGATAAGGGTAGGAAATCCAGCACCTGTGAAGGAGAAAGAGTCAGCCAAGTACCTGGTGCTTTTGGCTCTGAGGACAGTAATCCTCAATGACACCTGAAGGCCAGCATTTCTGTGAGAGCAGCAGACCATCAGTCCTCTCCCAAGCAGCGTATCCTTGACTGGCCCATCACTAGCGCTCTGAAAAGCTTGATTCTGAATGAGACTTAATCAAATATTATTCTGCACCTGAAGTCGGACATTTTTGGCATTGTTCTTCTACTTTAGCATTGTTTCTCAGCCTTTTTAGGCTAATTCAAAGTTTAAAAAAATCCATCCCCCTTATTTACAAGAGTAAAAATGTATCAAGGAGACCGTCAATAAGCTGTTATAATTGATGTTTGTGTAGACGGGGTTGTGGAGGAGATTGACAGAGAACATTTGACCTTGAAGCACAAGGGTGTATGGAAAGGAAGGAAAGAGATTTTCTGTCATAAAATTTTCAATACCTTGTGCCATCCCAATTGCCTTTCTTGATGCTGGTCCCCTTGATTGTCATGATGCAGCACTCAAGAAATGCTTCTCAAGGAAGTCCACTCCTTTAAATTACAGTATTGGGAAGGTCCATACCTGCACCCAACTTGTAGGGCTTTAACAGAAACACCTTCCTCTTGCTTTCATGCTGTGGGCTTTCCTGCACTAATTAGACACGCATGCAAACCTGTCCAGAACTCATGCCAGGTATACTTTAGCATCGGGAAACCCCAGAGCACCATGCTGCCTCCATTTCATTATGAAACACCTGGAAATGCTGAACCATTCATTTGCTTGGCAGAATATTGCAGAAGTGGTGGTGCTCCTGTGGTGGAGAGTGGTATGCTGCTGAGGTGATACATAACAGAGTTATCCAATTTGAGCCTCATTGTTCTGTTTAAAGGAGATTTTTTCTGAAGAAGTGGACATTTATTTTCTTGTGTGTGATTTTGCTTGTGATGTCCTGATGATACTGCTGTTTGTTCATAGGTTGCCTCATAAAGAGCTTGTCTAGAATACCAGACAACCACTTAAGCTTTTCTTGTCAGATATACAGGCCCCCATTCAGGACAGCTTTCAAGCATATAGTTGTGTTGTGCTAAATATGGCTGCTTTCCTGGATTAGTGGCATGCATGATAGCCAAGACTACATATGTGGCAATGTAAAAAGCAAGTAAAGCTATAACCTCTGCAGGTTATATAACATTTTATATTGTAAAACTAATGTAAGTACCCCCTTTCAAATAAGGAAGTAATTCTCCTTCTGCTCGTCTTTCTTTTGTGATGGCTTTAATTTTTTTATCTCTGAGTCATAACACACTTAGCATACAAACTCCTGTGTTTAACTAAGAGCTTGTATTAGATTGTCTTATAGTTCTGTCATTTCATTGTCTTTATCTTTGGCTTTTTTGTAGGAAGTTGGAAGCATCATTGGGAAGGTAATTTATCTTCACTTGCATATTTAGAAACTCCATGATGATAAGCCTTGAACATGTACAGTACCTGCAACCTGCATTCTGATAGCAGTTAATTCTGTCTTGTCATTACTGGAAGATCTATAGATTTGATTGTGTGACAGACCTCTCATGTGTTTGGAGAATAGATCAAAGAGTGCTTTCCCTAAAAAAGTCCATCTAAAGTACTGTCACTTCTTTCTCAACTTTTCTGCATCACTCTGGCTACTAATGTATATGGTCATGATATAAAAACAACACTTATTCATCTCTAGTTAAAAATAAACTAGAAAGTTTACTAATATGCTAGGGGCCTGGGACTGTATAGTCAATTTAAGATTGAAGCAAAAACAAATATAACTTCATTGGAATGTGTTATAAACAATCTGCAGGGCAGTGAAATAGAAACAACATTAAGAGGAGCTGCTGACAGCAGAATTGCAGAACAAAGAATAGCTTGACTGATGAAAAATCAGGAACATTAAAAAGAAGAGAGGGTTGTTAACACCTGTGGAATGAAGACTTTAGAAGGGTTTGGGTAGATTATAATGAGCTATGAAGTCAATTGATTCCCTCAGCAGTGCCTGGTTAGAAATGTTGCTGCCACATCCAGGCAGTTGGTTTTAAACTTTGGGTGTACCAAAAATGAAAGGGGGTTGCACAAGGGTACCCCTCCCCAGATCTGTCCCTGCACATAAGTCTTGACTAGCAGAGTAAGAGAATGTAAGGGAATGAGGGCTAATTTAAGCATGTCAACACAACTTTATTGAAAAATAGGAAAACCTAAAAGAAAGGTGAACAGATGTAAAATTCCAAGTTGGATGGCATTCACTGTGAAGAATATAGGACCTCATTTGGTCAACTGTACCTCTGTAAAAAGTTCTGTGTTATGCCATGGTGCAGTTAGGTTACCTTGAAAGTTTGGAAGATCAATACTCTAGAATACTGTCATACTTTTACAAGGTGTGTTCAAGAAGAGATTATTTTAACAATGATTTTAATAAAGAGGCTATCTACCCTCCTGAACTTGGCTTTTATTTGTCCATTCTTTTCCTAATGAGTGATTAATAGCTAAGTGGAAATAGCTTTCTAGATACTAATCCATATGTACACATGACATCAACCACATCGTTTAAACAAAACACTGAAGTGCCAGATTTCCTAAACATGCTGTGAGTGTTTGTGAACTTATTCCATGGAGGCTTCTATTCCGCTGCTAGTAGGAAATTGGAAAAGAAAGAAACTCGGTGTGTACTGATATTGAATAGATTTGAATATGATATTATTTGTATAGTGAGCAGTACTGACTGCAATGAACTTGGGGAGTAGATCTGCAGAGTACAAAGGGGACATTTTTACATATGAAAATGTCTAGGAGTATACAGACAAAAAATTGACATGTGGGAATAGAGGAAAGGGCAGGAGCTCTTCAGAGAGCTTTCTGTGTTTTCATTTATATTTTATGAAACGTAATAGCTTTTAGAAGCTTCAGTAGGGATACAGTGTAAGATGAACGTTTTTGATTATGTTACAATGGTTGTGTTTCTGTTTCTTATTTCAGAAAGGAGAGACCGTGAAAAAGATGCGTGAGGAGGTAAGCAGCCCGGCTGTTTGAAGTGACTTCTAATAAAACCTACATGAGACTAATAGAAAGGGCTTGCTCATGCCATTTAGCTGGTGGGAGCTTTAGTACACAGTAGCCCAAAGCTTTGCAGATATTTAGTTCAGTCTGAGACAATGTGCAATTAAGTACTTAATCAGTTTTAAAGATCATTCACCTGTTAGGAAGGATGTAAGCAGATAATAAAAGCAGGCCATGTCCAGAGAACTTTCATCCATATTTATGTAGTCTACACTCAAGCAAGGCTCCATTGAACCCAGGGGGAGTTTGCCTAAATAAAGACTTGATAATATAACCAAGTAATCTGCATTAGAAGTGCGTTTATCTAAGGACTTCATGTTCTTTGCATACTAATATATCACATCAGTATAAAAGTTTCTTTTAAAATGTGTGAACTAAAGCCATGGTCATAGATCATATGCCACCAGAGCACCCTTCCATTGGTGTGGAGTCATTGGCAGCACACATGGGTACAGGGTAAGAAGAGAACTGAGGTAATGGAATTGCATCTTGCATTTTCCTCTTTCTCAATAGCTGAGATTTAAGTTTACCCCTCTGCAAACTGATGGATGGTTAAAGGGCATGAGAAGATTTTCTTTCCTTTTTCTTTTTTTCCCCCCAGAGTGGAGCAAGAATCAACATCTCAGAAGGAAACTGCCCAGAAAGAATTGTGACCATCACAGGCCCCACGGATGCCATCTTCAAGGCTTTTGCCATGATTGCTTACAAGTTTGAGGAGGTGAAAAATTTTATTCCTTCCTCTTTGGAGGAAGATTACTGAGCAGATTTTAATAGACAGTGTTCAGGCTGAGATTGGTACTGTCTCAAATGCTGCCAAGTCCATTAATGTCTTCTGAAAATAACTGCAGGCCAAGTGGAGATGTTTAGTGCGTTCCTGTGGCTACATTTCAGAATGCAGAATCCCATGGCATTGTCATGTGGCAGTGTTACAACATTATGCTGCAATGTCAAGAGACTGATGTCATGTTACTGTAATGGGGCAGCATGGCAATGGGAAGGAGAGGCAGCACAAAATTTTAGGTAGGCCTGGGCTTTGGGCAGTGAGATCAGGACAGAAATGCTTGCTCAGCCAGCCTGCACTGGTGTTACACATTTTCCCTGTGCGGTCTGTTGCTGCTGCTGTGAGGAGCCAATGGGCTGTGATGCTGGAGAAGGAGCTCTGAGATGACACCATGCAGCCCCTCCAGAACAGTCAAAGAGGTGCCTTATAAGGGGGCCAAGTTGCTGAGGAAAAAGGAGAGAAGGAAAGGTAAGGTAGAGAGGACAAGTGGGGTTGGGGGAATGGTGAGTAGGTAGGGTTGTATGTGGAGTAGCGATAGGGAGGGGAGAAAGAAGGGATGTCCGCTAAGGAGTGTTGCCCATGGGTGGGAGGTCTGAAGCAAATGAATTCTGGCACAGCTTCCTCTATAAGGATATACAAGCTTGTTCTGCTTGGGGTTCTTCTGGACCCTGGCAGCAAGGGAGTCATTCAGTTTGGCCTAGTTCTTAGCAGCAAGCAGTGTAGCTTTCTTGCAATGTACAGGACTAACCACTTTCTTTCAGGTGGCCTTAACAGAGAGGCAAAGGACCAAGAGGACAGAAACAAAAATTGGAATTGCCTGCCCTCCTCCTTTTAGAGCTGTTCTGTCAAAACCAAGGTTTAAGTACCTGAACGTAGACTGGATAGGCCTGTATGGGTGCTGGATGTGCTTGCCCTTGTCTTTTCAAGGGGGAGATGAGTGAATTTTTGAGACTATCAATACAGGATTTTTAAGAATACTGTAGCTCACTGTTACATTGCACTTTCAATAGCAGATGTCAGACTCTTTTATTCCCATGTTGCAGATGGGGAAATGAAGTCACACAGAGAGGGAAAGTGGCTTATCTAAGGTCACAGACCAGTTACAGAGCTGGGCCTAGAAGCCAAGTGCCCTAAGTTCCAGTTTAGTGCACTATACCCACCTACCTCCTTTTTCACTGCTTCTGTGCTCACTCACCAAATGGAAAAGGCAGACATAGGAATCACTCCACATGAAAGGGTTGTACGCTTTGTATTTACAGTGGATTGGGCATTTGATGGTATGAAGAGTGGCCTTTTCCTTTGAGGGTGTGAAAAGCTTTATTCTTCAGGAAAATTGCTTCAACAAGGCATAATTTGAAGGTGGTGTGTGCTTTGGGAGATCCCATCACTTTGCATTACACAGTCACTTTTTTTAACTTTGTCAGTGTGACATCTCCCTGGGGGTTTTCATCAAATTTAATTCAATTCTCTTCCTTTGACTTTTTCATTGTCAAGTGTAAAGATTTACTATGTGTAGCCTCCTGGGGTGAAGAGCAAATTCAGCTTTCTTAATTGGACCTGCATGCTTCCTGGTAAAATCTCCGTAGGACAGCCTGGTACGGGTATAAGAATGAAATATCTGTATGCTTGATGGAAATATGATAACATATAGCAATCAACATCTCTCCTATTGCTCAGTAGTATAGCTTATACTGTGTCCTTACATCTCTAGCTAGAAAAGAATTGTGTTTCATCCTGGGATCTTGTACTTAATTTTAGGTGGCACAGGGAGACATTGTGAAAATGTGTCCTAAATATTCCCAAGAATAGGTTTCTAATGTAACGTGCTTCATCATTGTCACGTGGTGACTTTTTCACCATGATAAACTTAGATGAGTGGAAGTACTTTAACATTTTTGTAGACTTTCATATATTTTAAAGATCTCATGGCATTTGAGGGCTACAATTTATGGTAAATAAGCTAAGCATGAAGTCCCAGATGTCCCAAAACTTGTGCATTTCAAGTAAAGATCTTAGTGCCTTGGTGGAACTGTGTTATATAGCATTCACGTGAATAACACCAATACTTTCTGACCCTGAAGCACCAAATTGGTTGACCAAAAAGATTGATGCCTTCAACATGAGTTGGGAAAGCATTACAAACAGCTGTGCTAAAGCAGGGGTGCTTGACCCCTGGCTGGTAGGCCAGATCTGGCCTGCAGAATTGTCATATGGTCCTTGTGGCTTCCCACAGATCCAAAAATTTGGTGTTGGGGGAGTGGTGGAAGTGTTAAAGGCTGCAGGCCAGGTGGCATGACCCTGTGCACTAGATTGAGTGCATGGGGCTGGGGTGGAACAGGGACAGGCTGAGCAGTATGGAGCCCAATCCAGGCATGCAGGGCCAAGCTAAGGCAGCATGGGCAGTCTGGGTGCATGGGGCTGGGTCAAGGCAGTGCACGGGCTGGTCTGGGCACAAGAGACCCAACTTGGCATGTCAACCCCATGAGAGACTGGTCTCGCATCAGTTATCCTAGTCCAAAGGGCCAAAAGAGTAAACACCACTGTAATAAAGGGTACAGTACTGTCTATGGGCAGCCAGTGCAAAATGCTGACTGGCACCTTGCAAATGTTTGACATACATGGTTATGCGGCTATGGAAATAGTTGACTGTCATGCTTTCTATTTTTGACAGCACGAGGTGATCACCACAGAGTTTTAGGCAAGGTTTAACATTAACTTGCCCGTGTATTTATGCCAGTTTAGATAGCATTTGTACAGTAGAATACTTAATTCTGTTTTTTTTTCCTTTTTCCCCTTCTAAAGGACATAATCAACTCAATGAGCAACAGCACTGCTACCAGTAAACCACCAGTAACACTGAGGCTGGTTGTGCCTGCTAGCCAGTGCGGGTCACTGATTGGCAAAGGGGGCTCCAAGATTAAAGAAATCAGGGAGGTAATGCAGACCTTTTTACCCTTTTTTTTTTTTTTAAATGATTATAAATGTAACTTATTAAAGCCACATTTTCAATTGCATGACACTGATTTTGCAGCTTCAGGAGTTAGTATCTACATGCATACTGCGTCACCAGCTATATCTGTTCAGCAACACAGTTGCCACCAGAAGCTGTGCAAGTGACATAGGTTCCTGTCAGTGCTAGCATGGTATTATATTTGGCTTCAGAAGAGGAGGAGGAGGATTGCAATATCTATCCACTGTTATGTAGAGTGGCACAGGAAAGGACAGTAGCAGTCGCATAAAATGTGCAAACAAAGAATTATTAACCCATGTAACACACCAAAAATGAACATGCTAAAGTCAGAGCTAGCTGCAAAGAAATAGACCATTAGATGTTTTCTTTTACAGCTGCCACACATTCAATTTTGCTGTTCTCCCTTTCTCCCTCCCTCTTTCTGCTTTTTCCAGTCAACAGGTGCTCAGGTTCAAGTGGCGGGGGACATGCTGCCCAACTCCACAGAGCGGGCAGTGACAATCTCGGGAACCCCCGATGCAATTATCCAGTGTGTCAAACAGATCTGTGTGGTGATGCTGGAGGTACAGTCTGTAACAATGGGGGTAAAGTATATAGGAAAAAATTATCAACAACCAAAATGACAATGAAAACTCTGGAGTAGTAATGTTTGTTATTGTTTACCTCCAGTTTTTGGATCATGCTAGTTTCCTGGTACTGTTACTTTCAAACCCATATCATGAACTTTCACTCAGCAGTGCATTCCATTACTATTTATAGTGTTAGGGGTTGAAATGCAATGAAATCTGAAATAAGATATTTTCTACTGAGTCATGTCTAGAGTCACATGAAGGTTACTTTAGAAATTAGGAGGCCTTTTATGGAGGGACACAGAAAGAAAGGCTAGAGCTAGAAAAGCAGAGAGAAGAGTGTGGACACAGAGATAAATAAAATGTTTGACATGAACTGAGGCAAACCCTTGAAGTGTTTGAAAACCAGGTTTTTTTGGTGGGAGAAGTCATTTTGGAGCAAATCCTGAAATGAATGGGACTAGCATGGAATGGAGTGATACAATCACTGTTGAATTGTCATGTGAGAGAAGGCAGGAACTGGTATTTTTCACATGCCAGAGTTTGCACAGTTTAGGGGATGAAATGTCATTTATCACAGACAATTACTGAGAGCAGTGTGCTGTGTTGATTAGCTGTGTGCTGTCTTAATGTCACAACAAGCCCCCGAATCAAATGCAATCAAAATACTCTCAAGGTGAGGAAGGATCCTGCTCCTTGGACACATGCAGTTAGCTAACACAGCAGACATCTCTGGAATGTTGCATCTCTTTATCCCCTCTTGAAGGCTGCCTGACACAAGTTCATTTCCTACCTCCAATGAGAATTGCATGCTTTCCTGTGACATAAGCAAAACAGCCACTCTTCCTTTCATTGGCTTGAACAGATGCATATCTTATTGTGAGGCTTTAGAACAAGGAACCAAATGCTTGATTGTGACCAATGACATTTAAATACTTGCAGACTAGATCAGGAAAGATGCCACAAGTACTTTGAAAAGAAAGAAATGTGGTTAACCTCTATATTTCATAGTAGTAGATAAAAATCCATGCTGTTGGACAAAGATGCAATGGTCATTGTTAAGTGATACATGTAGTATTTGGTCTTTATCGCTAGTTGAGAGCAGTATTATCCTTGAAAATGCCAGTGCCATTTTGGTGTATAAGTGAAATGAGTGCAGTGTATTGAAAGTAATAACTCCATACACATGTATAATAATACATGAAGATGTATAATAGGTGTATGTCTGCTGCTAGCTGCTGTGAAGTGTTGACATTCTGAAGTTCTGACTGACTTTAGGAAGAGTTGCCAATTTGCTTTAGCTCTCAGGTTTTGGTTCACTAATAATGATAATATTAATTACTAATACTAATACTATTAGCTGTTTTTACAATCTGAAGTATTAACATTTGTTTTGTTTTAGTTTTTTACAGTGATTTTCACTATCATCCTGAATCCTTTTGTTATCTAAGAAATAACACACTAATTTTTCCTGCATTGCTAATACAGTATGAGAAAAAGCATATTTTTGCATATACATATATGGAATACATGTGTGTGCATACGTGCACATGTACACGTGTGTGCATACACACACACTTATAGAAACTTTTGAAATAGTGTAGTTCGTTTGGTGGATTTGATCTTTTCTGTGTTACTATTTATTGTGAGGTTTTTGATATTTTTCCACTGCAGACAGTAGTGTCTATATATTTATAATATACACTGAGGTCTCTATAAGAAATAGGAGACTACTTCATAGGAAGAGCTTTCAAGAGGTTTATTTCGTGCATAACAATTATTTGTTTATGAGAAACCCAACATAGAGTGAGAAGACATAATCCAACATACATGTATAAAAACACTATTCAAGCTAATAGTGACAGAATGTAGCTCAGGCATTCACATCTCAACAAATGGATAAGGCTAAGGCAGCAAACTGAATGGGTGAGTAGCTTGGACTTCTGGCAGGATGGAAAGGCAGGAAGCATGTATGTCTGGGAAAAGTCCTCCCAATGGTATGTTAATTTATGGCTCCGTTTTGCCTTTCTGTCACTAGCACAACAAAAGTTCTTACACTGCATTCAGCTTCCAACATATTGTACAGGAGCCCAAGAAGACCAAAAGCTGCTGATGCTAAACTTTACTGTTGGCTGTAACCACATGTCATCCCAGCCATGGCCTTGCCCCCCCAGTTGTCCTTGCAATTCTCATTCCATGATGGGAAATGTCAGGACCAAGCAGACTTCTGTATCACAAAACCACAACCATGCTGCCATGAGGCAGCATCCATTTTAGGATTGTGATCATATAGTCCATTAGCCAAGTAGGCTGGGAGATTAAATTTATTACTCGGCAATCTAGAGATGGCCCTTCGTTGAGCATATTGCTTGGGGAGGCTTGTGTGTATGTGAAGTCTACACAATTGCTACCTGTTCTATTCCTCCCATGTAGTTAGGGGAAGGACTAAATTTCTTATGCTCCTAAGTGAATCCATTCACCATTACAATAACATCATTGAAAATGATCATGATAGATTTGTGGCATTTCTTGTTAGAAACAAGGAAACAATTCCAGGGATTTTTTTTTACCATTCAGTTTAGTAAAAATAATTTCATATGTGAACTTTATTTAAAATACTTTTCTTTTATTTTCCTTTGAGACATTAACCAGGTTCTAACCCTCTGTGGGACAACATTTGTAAGATTCTGTGCACAAATGTAACACGTTAAATGGTATATTACTGTTATCAGCACTAGTATTACTTTTAACATATCACTCTTAAAAGGTCCAGTTAGACCTGGGTTCCTTATGTCTTCCTAAAGAAACCAAGTGCTTGGGCTGTAGATTTACCTTTGTAATATCTCTGTTGTAGACCTAATAACAAAATCTTCCTATTGCCACTTATTTCTGAACAGTTGAGTTTTTCAATGGAATTTCAAGAGTGCTGCTATTGTAAATATTTTCTCAGGAACAGAAACTTAGGGAAAAATAGATAAAAAGAGAAATAAAAAATAAAAAGGGAAATTGTGGAGTAGTGAATGTAGGGGACTGAATGGGGTTAAGTTAAGAAGGTATACAAACTTTAGGGGAGAAAAGAATTCCTTGCCTAGTTTAATTCGAGAATAGGTTTTTTTTTCCATCTGTCGAATTATTATTTGCCTTTTATGCTCTTGTGTAGAAATCATAGTTTTCTGGTACCAACGTTTTTTCTTTCAAAATAATTAAAGGACTTAATGTCCCATGGAAAAACTGCAGGACAAGGATTGTGTTATAGCATTTGTTGTATTTATGTGTTCAATGACATATTTCAATGACACTTTCTCTTTACTAATATTGCAGGAAAGTTGTTCTAATGTTTTCTCTCCCTCTCCTTGTCCCTTTTCCTAGTCCCCACCGAAAGGTGCCACCATTCCCTATCGCCCAAAGCCCGCCTCCACCCCTGTCATTTTTGCAGGTGGTCAGGTAAGAGCCGACCCGCTTGCGGCCTCCACTGCCAACCTCAGCCTTTTACTGCAGCACCAGCCGCTGCCCGTTAGTGCACTCAGGTTTTCTCGCCTTCTCACTTGCATGGTGTCATCCCATTCATATTGTGCCGTAGCAGCTGGACTTAAAGCTCTTTGCAAAACTGCTGATTGTTTCTTTGCCTGAAAAATTGGCTTCACTTCTCCATTCATCAGTAGGCGTATTTCAAAAGTACTTCCTCCAGCCAATTTGCAGGGGACTGAAGTTAATTGCAAAACATGCTTCTCACTGTCATGCATTCTAGGAAGAGACTGACTATCCGCAGCAGCAATTCAGCACTCACTTTGGATTACAAATCTCACCACATTAACATCTTACTCCTGCAAGGTAAGGGCTTGTAGCACAGGATACTAAGCAAGTGCTTTATCTGAGATCACAGTAAGCGTAACCATAGTGGACTGAAAGTTAGAGTGTGTTCTGAACAGCCACACAGCAATAGTTACTATGATCTCAGTCTGCTCTGGACAGGGCTAGAGCCACCTGTGCATGCCCTGCAGACACTGACTCCAACACCAGGCACTGACTGCAACACCAGCTTGCATGTCTGCCCATGAGATCATGCAACCCCCATTCCCAGAGCCCACATCCTCCCTCCTTACCACATGCCCAACACTGCCCAGCTTGGCAGCATCTGCCCCTGGCAGGCTGAGGCAACCTGGGTCTCTGCTACAGGTGATGGGCAGATGGAGGCATGGGGAGCTAAGCCTGGAAGGTGCTACTCCTGCCTCTGAATCCCACCCATGCCAACAGAACTGCTAGATTACTCATATTATCTCTAAGAAGTAGCCTGACAATAGCTGAGATCTGTGAAGTAGTCTGACGATAGCTAAGATGTGGAGATGGTCCCATGAAAAGCTGTAACTGCTACAATACAAGTGCACTTAGTATGTGTTTCCCAAAAGCTCATGTTTTAAGTGCAGTTCACACATCTTAAGTGTAACATACAGCATGGCCCTAAGGTGCTGAGTGCTGTGACCCTGATCCAGCAAAGACTATTAGCCCATACTCAGTTTAAGCAGCTGGTATTCAGCGCATGATTAAGTACTTTATTTCAAGCTCAAAGTACTTGCAGGCTCTTAGTGCAGGGTGATATAGAATTGGAATCTGGTCTGAATGTGTTCAGACCATTAAAATTAGGGCTGCATTTAAAGCATCACACAGTTGCCAGTTTCTAATTCCCAGTCCACCTTAGCTGAAAAAATTGCCTAATTTGGTGTACAGTTCTGCTCAGGTTTGGCCAACATTCATTTGCTAATGCACAACAAAACCCAGTTTTTGTTGAAAATTATCCATTTTAATTATGTTTGATGTGAGAAAAGGTTATTCATTGACTGCATTAAATGCATTCATTTTCTAGCATTTTTAGATTCATTCAAAAAAATTTCACACATTCTAAAATGTGATGACATAATTAAAGAATCTCTGTGCTATTCAAATGTAGCACTGAGTGCCTCTGCTCTCCAGGGGCAGATCCAGTTCCCACTAAAATCAATGAAAAAAAAATCACTGCTCCCTGTTGACTCCGAACCAAGGTGCTCAACACAACTCACAGAATTCAGGGTATAAACAGACGTTGCCAAATGAAGTGGATCAGCTGTGGCGGGATGCATCTTGCCATAACTGATCCACTTTCTTGTCTGAAACATAAATTGTCCATTGTCCCCCTGATGGGACAAAAGGCGATGCATTCTTCTTGCTCATGTCCCTTGCTGCCTTGCACCTCCTTGCTGGGACCTGTGCTGCAAGGAGGTGCAGAATTTTTCACATAGAGGCATGGGTCAGTGGGGTCCTGGTATGGGGCCCTGGGGGCATAGGGTGTTGCAGGACCCTGGCAATCCCCAGCACCCCATGCCTCTGCTGGGACTTGCATCGACCCATGCTCCATGTGAAGTATAAGTTGGTGCAGGTCCTGACAAGGCAGCAGGGGAATTCCTGGCATCTTGTGCCTTCATGCTGGGTTCCACTCTGGGTCTCACACAGACTTGGGCCTCATAAAGAGGCATGGGTCAGCATAGGTCCCAGCGTGGAGGCACAGGATGCTGATAATTCCCTAGGTTTCATGCCACCCTGGGTCTCCTTGCCAGGACCTGCACTGCTTAATGCCTCCTTGTGAAACATGGTCAGTGTGGGACCTAACGCATGTCCTGGCAGGGAGGTATGTGGTGCTGCGGGTTCCCCGGGTCCCATGCCTTCTTGTTGGGACCTGCATGGGCTTTCTCCACTTATGAAGACGTGCCCCTGGAGATCCTGGGGTGAGTCTCCATAAAAGGTTTGCCTGAGGACAGATTTTAGGGTTGGGCCTTATATTAAAACTTTCATTACTTACACACATATCAGAAGATAATGATGTACAAGGAAATGTACATTATTTCTAATGGACAGACTGTTAAATAACAGACAATGTTGCATTTTCTTGAGTGCACACAGGGTAAGCCAAGGCAGAGTTTGGCTTACAGTTAAGTGTGGTTTATCATAATCCTTTGCAAGCTAAATTGAACCCTGTTTTACTTATTGAAGTCTTCCCCTTCCACAGAACTTGCACACATAGGTGTGCCAAAAATTTGCATACAGAATTAATTATGGATGCTGACACTGTTTCAGACCATTAAGGCATGTTTTTATTAAAACTCCTATCAAGAATTATATGGTTTTTTAAATCCAATTTAAAAACAATTGGGAAAACGTTACCTCTATCTGATACTTTTCATTTCACCTTCTGTCAAAAACTGACCATCAAAGAACCCCCCACATTACTCTATCTAGTTTACATCATTCCTTTAGCTCAGCTCTAAAATTGATTTGATAGAGGCCAAATCTATACGCCAATATTACACCAGCTGACTGAAGTAATTTTAAAAAACAGTTTCATTGAGGAAATATAACCTGTTGTGTAAAACCCTTGAAGTGGTTTCTAGCTGGCTTACAAAAATGATTTTAGTTATTGCAGAGAGAGGATATCAGCATTCAAAGTGTTTTCAGAAGAATATATAGGTAGTATTCAGAAATTCATCTTGCAGGTGTTTCATTGCCAATTGCTGATAATTATTTTATCTATCTAATTCAGCTATCTCTTTAATTAAGTCTTGTTTTTTTCAGTATCTACCACTGTAGTACCTAATAATGTAATTAGAAGAGGGAATGCCCCCAGGTCTGCACTAACTTCACTTCAGGTCAGACTGAAAGAAGACAGAAATATATCTAGCTATAATTTCAGAAATATCCATTTGTAGGTGCTTCAGTAATTGTGTGCTCCAAGGACTGAACACCCAGCTTGGACACACAAGGTCTGGTGTTCAGTGGGAATGAGCACCAACCAGTGCCACTGCTTTCAAGTGGAGTCATAGCCACTTAACACCTTGCTTTGTAGTAGCTGAATATCTAACAACTGCTTCCAAGATGACATGTTTAAAGGGTTCTTGTCCCCTGAACCATGATAAATAGAAATACAAACCATGATTGAAACACATGGAAAAGGCACATGCTTTGATAACAGAATGTTGCATTTGTAGTTGTCTCTTACTAGTCACTAAAATCAAGATAAGTACTCATTGCATCATTTATTCACTCTAGTTGCATGAAAGCGCTTTGGGTCCAGCTGTTCAAGTAACTATCTTTTTACAAGGGAGAGTAAGATGGAAGAAACTTTTTGTCCCTGGTATAAACGTGTTGGTGTCTTGAACAGAAGTTATTTCAGGGCAGAAATAAGCCTCTAGAGTTCAGACATTTCTCATTGTTTGCTCTAAAATGGAATGCTGTTTTGTCTTTTGGGTTCGATTTACATTGCTTCTCGGCCTCTTGAAGGCTCAGATCAAGTGTGTATCAGTTTTTCACACCTTGTAATGCTGGGTTAAATATTTAGCTTCTTTCCCAAAAAATGCTTTCTGTCTCCTTTGAATAAGAGAAAGTCCTATTTAATTGTACAACTCCTGTATCCAAGATAAAGGGCAAGTGCCCCTGCTCTATGCCTGGAACAAGTGATGTAGAAGAAATGCCCCCCAGCTGCCTCAGTCTCTCATTCTCCCCTTGTATGCTGCGGCATTGATGAGCATCAGGTATTCGGTGCGACACAAGCAACTTCCATAGTTTCATAGTAGCTTGGGTCAGGAGGGACCTGAACAGATCATCTAGCCTGACCCCCTGCCACAGGCAGGAATGAATGCTGGGTTCACAAGACCCCAGACAGGTGATCGTCCAACCTCCTCTTGAATATGCCCAAGGTAGGGGCGAGGACCACTTCCCTGGGAAGTTGGTTCCAGATTTTGGCCACCCTAACTGTAAAATATTGCCTTCTGATCTCCAACCTAAACCTGTTCTCCATCAGCTTATGACCATTGTTCCTCGTCACCCCAGGTGACCCCAGGCAGAAAATTATCTGCCTATTTTCTGTTGATCCCCCTTGATGAGCTTGTAGGCAGCCACCAGGTCCCCCCTCAGCCTCCTCTTGCTGAGGCTGAACAGGTTACGGTCCTTCAGTATCTCCTCGTAGGGCCTGTCCTGCCCTCTCACCAAGTGGGTGCCCCTCCTCTGAACCCCCTCCAGGCTGGCCACATCCCATTTGAAGTGCGGTGCCCAGTACTGGACGCAGTACTTCAACTGCGGCCTGACCAAAGTCGCATAGAGGGGGAGTATCACCTCTCTGGCCCGGCTTGAGATGCATCTTTGGATGCATGACAAGTTATGGCTGGCCTTGCTGGCCTTGCTGGCTGCGGGCTGGCATTAGCGGCTCATGTTCATCATGGAGTCAGTAATGACTCCAAGATCCCTTTCCGCCTCTGTGCTTTCAAGAAGGGAACTCCCCAGCCTGTATGTGTGCTGTGGATTCCTTATCCCAAGGTGCAGCACCCTGCATTTGTCTACGTTGAACCCCATCCTATTCTC